CTCAGCCATCATAAGTCCAACAACCTATAATTAGTCTTCTAGAGTTCAGGCATTATAGGGCCAATAATGTCTCCTAAAGCTCAGCCATCATAAGTCCAACAACCTATAATTAGTCTTCTAGAGTTCAGGCATTATAGGGCCAATAATGTCTCCTAAAGCTCAGCCATCATAAGTCCAACAACCTATATTGTCTTCTAGAGTTCAGGCATTATAGGGCCAATAATGTCTCCTAAAGCTCAGCCATCATAAGTCCAACAACCTATATTGTCTTCTAGAGTTCAGCCATTATAGGGCCAATAATGTCTCCTAAAGCTCAGCCATCATAGAGCCACAGCTACTTATTATTAATTAAACTTGTTGGGAATTTGTGCCATTTCAGAAATTGATGTAGATTACATATAAATGTGCAATAATGTATTTTTCTAAAACTGAGAGCATCCTCATCTGTTCAGTAAAAATGTAAAAGAATTTTATTGCTAATAATGTAAAACAATCTTGATAATGTAAAAATTGATAATACTAATTATTAATATTATTTTAGCCATTATAACCGATATTATTCATAAAGTTAGCTTTAGAGAATCAATAGAACATGTCGTTACTTACAAGTTTGTTTTTAAAGTTATGGTTTAATAATATCGACAACCTTTATAATATAGAATCCGCCAAACTAATATTTGTAGGCTTTTTTTATTATTATTATTCATACTAGAAATATGATCTGCATTTCAGAATATTTTACATGCTTATATAAGATATTAATCGCAGAAACAATGTCGGTAATGTATTCTAGTTTCTGTTCCTAGTCGCACTTTCTATCTTGCAATACGTTGTTGATCACCCCTCATGAATCTTTGTTACGTCAGTTAGAACACATGCAGAACCATTTCACTGATCGATTTTAAACGTTAGCTAAGAACTTTTATACCAAAATACACAACCCTTGATCGATTTAAACTATGTAAATGCCGGTAGATAACGACAGCTTTGCAGTATGTAATGCGCAACAGTAACTTAAAGTTAGCTTAATGTATCTCTTTTATAATGCAAAACTAACAACGCTGAAAAACAAAAGGGTTTATTTAGCCTTCAAAAAAAGACAATTTCAAAAGGAAAGCCATATTTCTTAAGGCAGCCTGTGTAACAAAATGTCAGACTCAAATTCAGTTTCTGTTTCTAAACCTATTAATGTACATTCCAACCAATTAGCTATCACAAAAGTACTCTATTTCAGGAGTAATAATAAACGAACATGTGAATTCATCGAAACTATTTGAAACTTAAGATACGAATTTAACCCATGAAAGCAAAAATCAGCCAGTCATTATATCTGAGGATAAGGATGTTGAGATTTTTTTACAATAATTTATTAAATAGTTGTTATCCATAGGTATTACCTACGTAAAGCATGCATTTGCATTAATCCCAATATAATTGAGGTTGGTCAAATGGTGGTCTTCTGGTTATTGTACTGAACTACGTTTAGTTAAACCGTCCTTTTACGCGCCAAATATTTTGTATTAACATATGACGAACTGTTGTACACAAAATTTCATTATCAAAGGCCTACTGAAGTTATTCATTGCTTCACTAAGAAAAGGTTTGTAGATAACCAATTTCCAATATAAATACGTTCTGGAGATGCGATGTAGTTGAATAGACTGTCACTAGGGGAATGAACAACGTGAAATTGATGAGTCGGTCGATTCGTTATGTTTGATTTAATTAAGAGGAAATCTGTGAAAAACTCTGCGTGAATAAAAGTACACCAGTTAAAACTATGCATATTAATATTAAAGAAACTTCCTTTCAGGGCCACCAGGAAAAGAAAAATGAAAAATGATTAAGCTTCTCAAGTGATTGTTTAAATTTTATCGAGAATTCAGCATGTACTAAGAATTACAACGCATGTTCTTATCATAGCTAAAATAGGCCTTAATAAACTAAAACTTTTCATTTTACTTCTTACCTAATAAAATGAGTTTATATAAAAATGAAATATCTGGAATATATTAAATGTGAGAGAGTTTTGATGTGCATAAATTAAATACTGCTCAACTAAATCAGATTTTGAGTAAATAATACAATTTTAGGAATGTTTTTTTATTAAACCAATCAACAAAATCTTGTAATAAATCAGTAATTTTCTGAGTGTGTGTCTGTTTGCTTTAGAGTAAAGCCACAATGGGCTATCTGTTGCTTCCACCGCGGGAAATCTAACACTGGATTTTAGCGTTATAAGTCCGTAGACTTATCGATAGTGTAAAAAGAATATAATGAAAAACGGAATTCTACTTATTTTCATCCTTAAAATGTACAATTTGAATGTAAAAAAAATCAAATGTATTTTGAAAGAAGGATTAGAATATCGCTACTAATACGCTCTTCGACATTTTTTTCCTTACATTTCTTGCTCTTCAAACATATTTATTAAAAGTTTCTTGGTATTTAGGGATAATTTTTACGACTGTGAAACTAATAATCAACAGTGAACTATCTAAGATGTATTTGTATTGAAATTTGAAAATCGCTGGATGAAAAACGTTTAAGTTTCTCATATTCAGGTTAGTTTCATTTCTCCATTATGGTTGGCGATTAACGGCAGCATAAGCAGAGTGACGTTGCAGGTCCCTGTTCTACATCTGCCTCCTAGTCTCTAACATAGCAATTCTCAGCATAACCTTAAAGTTGTTCCTTAGCTGATAATTCAGCTTTCTACGGGCGCGCATTACCTGGAAATATAGTCCTTAATCGTCCTTTCTAGTGTGTTTTGTTGTCTTTTCCCCCTTAAAATATCGTACCTATTTGGTTTTTGGGCCTGGACATTTTCTATTTAAACACTGACTGGCCAGTTTAGCAGAACACATATTCACATATAAATACAAGACAAGAATTCAGTAGTACACTTAATTTATTTATGTATACAAAATAGACTAATCACATAATGTGTAGACGTAGTCATATTGTGGTTAGTCTGAAAGACAATTGGTAACAGTGAAAATATCTAAATGATTTAACAGCCTTGATATCTACATTTTGTTTTTCACTACTAGTTTATTTAAAGTGTTCAAAAAACAACAGATATTCTACCCTATATTTAAACCGATAAATAAGATGAATCAAATCTTAGGTACTACGAAAGACGAAA